GTTTTTGCCATTCCTGTAACTTCTCCGGTAGTGGTATTGGTTTTTGTCACTTCTGCCACATCTCCGGAGGCAGCATGGAAATTGGCTTGTACTGATTTTTCGCGGGTCACCGGCGGTGCAGTTTGATTACCCCTGGTGTTAACCACTGGCCTTACTCTTCCAGTGTGCCTTCCCCATGTAATGAGCCCTTTTACACCATGCGCCAGGTCTGCTATCAACTTTTTAATCTCTTTTTTGGTGTTGGGAGTGGAGACCACTTCTGCATCCAGTTCTTTAGACGTCGAATATATCTGTTGTAGATACTTATAGAATCGGGCGTTTGACTCCTCCGTCGGTATTTCGCTTCCATTGGGCGTCTGGCTGGACTCTGAGGAGGTCATAAATTTCTCCTGCAGAGTCGCTGATGTTTGGCCAGTCATGAATGGCTGCTTATCTTTGCTTGTGCTCGATGCAATCAGCTTGGCATTGAGCTTTGGGCTTGGTTGTAGATTGATTAATGGACGGCCCCCCTCAGAATCCATGGGGCCTGCCTCCGCAGAGGGTGGATTCCCCGGTAAGACCGGTTCACCACCTGAGGTAGAATTATCTTTTTGTTGTGCTTCCATCTTTCAAACAGCTTGTAATCTGTGGGGTCGCCGCTCCCCACGGATGGCCGGTGCCTTGGCGGGGGTTTGCCGGGCCCTCGTTGCGTTCTGTCCGGTCCGTTGAGTCCTGATCTTGCTGCTTCTCGGGAGTTGATCGCTTTCCTGAGAGACTGTTGAGGACAGTTCTACCCTGGTTTTTCTGTCGGGGATTTCCTTCCCTTAGGGCTTTGCTCGTCTGGGAGCAGGCTGCCTCCGACCTTGCCGACCCCAACTGGTTAAGGTCAGGGCCGGTTCAGAGCCTTTGCAGGTGTTTGCAGGCTGGCTCCGGGCCTGCCAGTCCCTACGAGTGAAGGTAAGGACAGGCTCTCTGTGCTCCGACTCCAACCGGTTAAGGTCACAGCCGGGTATGGGACCGCTTTGTAAGACCTAGTTAAAGGCCCGCAAGCTCCCCCACCGCGTCAAGGTGGGTCCCGTCGGGGGAGAAATACTATTTTTTACCTGTATGCAAGTACTACAACCTAATTTCCCATCTTTACAATCTATCCACGGATTTTTCTTCTGAAATTCAGTTACTTGTTCATTAGTCCATAACATGGGCCAACTTTTATGTATTTCCGTAATTTTTGGATCACATCCAACCACCCGATCATTATTATCTTCGATATCATTATTTTTCTCGTTGTATGGTACAACTGATGGACCAGCTACAGCAATATCAACATTAGAATTACTTTTTTTTTGTCTGGGGGAAAAGAAACTATCAAGGGGGCCACGTTTCAAATTTGAACTCATTATAACAACAAGAAATTACAGTAAAAAAATGACCTATATAATATGTAATAGACAATAGTAATTTATTTGCAATGTGCTCAAACAACAAAAAATAAAACATATCGAAGTAACGGCGGTTTACATATCACTGACGAAGGCACAACGCACGAACGATGACTAACATCCATGTGTTAATACTAAATACTACACAGTGTAATAATATATTAGTATATTACAATATAATATAATTCATCCTGAGTAATATGGTGTAATTTTTGATTATTATCGTCGTACTCTTCGTAGACTGACGACGACGACGACGACGACGACGATTATGGGAAATACCACCGATAACGATTATTTTGTCGACGTATTGTTCAACTGCCCGTGACTATTGTTACTGTCGTTATTGAACGTTGGATAAGAAAAACATACTATATTTTTAAGTTTTAAAAAAAATTACGTATTTTTTCATTTTGTATGGTTTGTTTGAGGGTATACGTAGTATAACCATGATATTTTAGAAAAAGCTTGAGAGTATACGGCGTATATGTAGTATACTCTATGGGAACACTACTGGTTATAAGGCCTCATCCAAACGAGATTATAATTATCTTTCGGTGACTAGACAGATATATGTGCGATGAGAAAATGCGTCGCCTGATGTATCTTTAAAGCGGTAATCGCGGAAGATTTTCACGAGCATAACGACGACGGAAAAAAATCGCACGTTTTTCTTCCCATTATTTTCACGTACATTAAAATCACACCGGAACTGTCGTTAGTTGTGCGTGGTAGAAGAACTTTGGTGTTTAAATGTCATACTCGGAAATCGATATGACCGTGTGAATAATGTTCATCGTACAGTCGTCGTTTGTTGTAATTGTCTTATCGTGATATGATATAATATATTATTAATACTGCACTCGCGTCTTACAGTCATCCGTTCGAAAAAGTCGATATAACACCGCGTGTAATTGTATGCTCCTTAAAAACTGTCTCGTCAAGCGGTTCTGGAAAGACTACAACTTGTACAATGACTTGTCATCTCCTATTAGATAATGGGATTGTGACACTCGTGTTTACTAAATCCTATTTTCGATACAGCGATGGCGAAAAAGACGTATTCTAATTTAACGGATTTCGGTACCATTTACGCCACCGCACAGAGATTACTATGTAGAAAATAACAATACAAATATTATATGCGATGTCAGGTACTCGACGGTTTGCAATAACTTATTGATAATTATATAATGTTCGAAGTTTCAACTTAAAGGTTTTAAGAACGCATTAGTTTTGCACGTAAAAACACCATTTATGGGCGGATACATCGTAAAAGCTATAAATATGCCCTTGAAATCAAAAAATCTCTATGCACGCAAACAAATGGCTTTAAACTCACTTTTGATATTTAATTTGTAAAGTCATGAAATTAATTTACGGCTTACTCTCGGTAATAAATCTAAAAGTCGTAAAAAAAAAACAACTACCTTCAAATGTAAAAATATTACAGTTCGCACGCGATCGCTACCAAAGTAGCGTACACACCCACTACAGTAAAATACAATATAATAGTAATAATTAGTTATTGTTTATCTCAACGTCAAACATATCTTTGGGAAGATTTGCTTTCGTGAACGTCCTCCCCGAAAGGGCGTCGTTGTGGCACCCTGCGGAGCAGTCCCGTACTCGGAGTAAAGGTATAGTCAAACTGCCGACGACTTCGTGTGAGTCGTCGCAAGTGCGTGTGTGTGTACCTATGTGTGTGAGCAAAAAGATACACACGGACGGGAACAGTTTGCATGAAATCGTGTGTACACACACAGACACGTATTTTTAACTACGTCGGGAGGTCGGGTGGGCAGCGGAATCCGCGGGTGTGCGCGGGGCGTTGTGCAATGTCGCGGCGGTATATGCTCCAGTGAATGGTAAAAAGCGTGATATATATGGAATACAGTAATCCGCCCTTGACAAGATAGACGTTTCACTTTCGACTTGCACCGGTCGCTGTGTTTATCACTGCGGTTCGACGACGTATAGGCAGGCGCGTTCGCGCGAATAAAACAACCTTAACGCACCAGGCGTGTAAATAATATTTTAATAATAGTAAAGCGTCGTATCGCGAATCCAAGATTTGTGTTTATTTATAAATATGCCTAAAGAAATAATTACAAATGAGTTATAGAAAAAACTCGATCAGTTTCTAATATTTTGGTTGTTATTTTTTTTCCAGAACTGAAAATGTCTAAAAACGGCGGTGTGTCACTGTCACTCCGGCTGTTGCTGCTGTCGTCGGCCTTGGCGACGGTGGCCGTAGCCCAGTCGAACTATGATCAGGTCGAAAACAGCATCGAATTCCCGAGTCCAGACAGGGGCCTGCCCGAGTCCACTGTGCTGGACGGCAAGGTTACCAAGTTGGACGAATTATCACCCGTGATATTTCTGAACAGGACCAAAGCGGCTCTAAATTGTGCCGCAGGATTTATGCAGGTTAGCTACACACGCCATCCATAGTATTACGTTAATAAATAATTAATACGAGCACAACTATAATATGTTAATTATGATATTATAGTTATTATTTCGAAGTGGTTGTGTGATTAACATAAGACCGTGTTTCGTTTTCAGATCGAGCTTAAGTTCGAAGAACCGTTTTATGGTAGGGCGTATGCTGACTTCGACAGGAGTAGCGCGTGCATGGTGACTGGCAAAGGTAACAACACGGCCAGGATCGACTTGCCACTAAAAGGATGTGGTACAAGACAAGTAAGCGATAAAGAATCTGATCTAATTAATAAATTACATAATTTTTTCGATCTATAATTTAAATTGTTGTTTTGTTTTGTATTTTATTTAGGATCCACAAAGAGTTTTTACCAACAACATCGTAGTCAGGTTCCACCCTTTCCTAGAAATGGACGGTGACGAAGTGGTTACTATAGTGTGCAGATATCCACCACCCATTGCTCCACCACCAGCTGGTATTCCTAACAAAATGTAAGTGCAAATAAGCGTTAAAATTATTTTTGATGTAAAAAACCAGTACTTATAAATTATAATATATATTCTTCATAATTTTTCCCAAAATGATAAATACTGATACTAATTCTCAGCATAATATATACAATAAACATCATTGTATTGTCATTGAAAACAGACATAAACCATATAATATTAAAGTTATACATCGATCAAGGTTAGTAATACCTCATGTATAATATAGGTAGGTAGTTAATAAAACTGACTCGACATTATTTTCAATTAAATCATTGGTCTTTGTAAACTAAAAATGTATTGAAATGTAACATAAACTAATTTAGTACCAATACAAAAATAATTTATGTACCGAGTGCTTTATCTTAAAGAATCAAAATAACCGAACCGAATACTTATACTCATTACTCACTGATAATAATTATTATAAGATAAAATTTAGTTTTTTTTTTGTTGGTCCAAGGATTTATATAAAAACATAGCTACATAATGAAAGGTTAGGTGCAATGTGCATTATATTATAATGTAAATTATATTTGAATGATATATAAATACATAATGAAATGTGTTTAAATTCGGAACTTTCAAGGATTAGAATGATAAATATATTTAACGATTAATAATGCCCCCCACGTAGTAAACGTTTAGCCATACAGTGTGTACACTCACCCGAACGCAAATATTATCTAACTTGACTTTTTTTCTTCTGTAGCATCGATTTACCATCGACGCCACTGGAACCGCCACTAAAAGGCTTCCAGATCCTGTTGATCGTCTGTGGCATATTGTTTCTGTCACTGGTCTTGCTGGGTCTTGGCTGTTCGTACTACTGCCTACGCAACCAACAAGTGCAGGTGGTCCGCCGGCACCCGCTATCGTCCGTCGGCTCTGACAAACTATCCGACTCCAGCCTGTCCATGTTCGATGGGCTGAAGATACCACGGGCTCGAGCTCCGACCCTGGACAGCTCTTCCGGTTCGGAAATGGCTCTGGTCAGTGCTGGGGACACTCTGCCCAGCGACTACCCGTCCGAATCACCCAGTTCCGGACACTCAGAAGCGGAGGACGTAGATGGTCGCAGTTTGAGACGATCGCCGAGTTCCGGTGGTTCGTACGAAAATCGGGCGTTCCAGCAAGAGTACTACGGAGAACGGTACCAACACTTGCCAGCGCCAACCATCACACCACCACCACCGCCAGTCCAACCGAAGTTTGACGTTCAGCTCCGAGTGAAACGGGCTCCACCACCCACACCTAGCCCTACTCCACCACCGTCCGAGTCCGAGGCGAGCGTGGCTGCGTTGGAACGTAACCTCACCACCATTCTGGAAAAGGATGAAACGATGTCGACAACCACGACGACAGCTGCAGCCGAGGAACGGTATCGGCCCGTATACTCGACAGTGGTGCGAAAGGATAGAGATGAGACCGAATGGTATAGGACAGAGGAGAACGTGATGACTACTGATGCTGACATAAGAAGATCACCGCCGCCACCACCGCCACCGGTGCAAATGCATACAGTGGACAACAACCATCGGTATGCCACCACGTCCAAGTACACGACTGAGATGCAAGTGGACGTCGTTGAACCACCAGTGGTGCCAACCAAACGGCCAGAAATCACGTCACACACGGTGGATGATGTGTTCCTGAAGACAATCACTGAGAAGAAAACGATCGAGGATATTGAACGGCATCGCCGCGAAGTGGTAGAGTACAAGCCACGACCAGTGCCACCGCCGGCTAGTTGGGACGTAACCATCAAGAACTACCCGAATCCAGACGCGTTGTACCCACAGTCGGGCGAAGACACAGCCACGGACTGGGATAGTTACTCCGAGGCATCATCGGTAACCGGTTATCCACCAGCCGGCGTCGATCGCCAGTCTAGGATTCAGTCATACAATAGCAACGTGATGTCATCAGCAGCCACTTCCGAGGAAAATCACATCAGGTATCTAAGCACCATGGACGTACCGGTGCCAAGGCCGGACAACTGGGAATCGTTGGTTCGAGTCCTGGAACCGGAACCGGAGATGGAACCCAATGCTAGGTACAGAGTCGAACAAACACTAACGCTGGATGACAAACGTAAGTGGCGCCAAATCATCACCACCGAGTCAACGCTCCGGCAGCTCATTACCGAAGCCACCGTTCGGGAGGACTTCGAGCGCATCCGCAGTGACCCCAAGTACGAGAGGATATTCGAACCGGAAAAATGGGACGTTATCATACGCGTGATCGCACCGCCACAGCACTACGACCAGAAAGCCGCTGGTTCATCCAACAGGTACACCAAGAAAAAGACCGAGTTTGAAGGAGCTAGGACCAGAAGAAACTCGTTGCCCACCGTTTACGAATACGATTCTGACGGCGGGTCCAGCGTGAGGACGTTGACAGCTGTTGACGACCATGGTCCGATGGGACCAGCCCGGTCTAGGAGAACGTCCAGGTCGAGCTTCAAATCCGACATGGATGTCAGGTAAGAGATTGAGTAAATAGTCAGGTTTAAACCACCATACCGAGTGAAAATGTCATTAGGGAGTGTGTTTATTTTGCTGAGAACTAGTCTAGTTTAAAATCACGTGGCTATTATAATATTAAATTCTTGATTTAGCATTGTTTTTTTTTTTAATAAATCGAACAATATTCTTTTGTAGTCTGTTACAATGGACAGTACGTGAGTTATGATTAATTTAGTAAATTTATAGACAAGTTTTGTGGTTAGAAATGATTTGTCTGTGAATGATCTGCTTTTTCAACTCATGGTCACGTTCTAAGGCTAATTCATCGTGGTTAGGGAAGCAGGATAGTGTATGACTGAATATATTGGTCATATTAACTATAGCACGTCATGCAAGGTTTATGAAAATGAATGCTCATCGATATTCGATACGTTGTAAGTTATAACAGATAACCTGGCACGAACATATCATCATTATTTTGTCGGTTTATGAAAAATTAAATCAATCTATTTGTTTAGATTTATATAGCAGACTACGTTAATGGTGTGTTATTGATTTTTAAATTGAACGAAACCTTTACAACATTTGAAAAACGAACGCTAACGGATAATTTTACTGTATAGTTTGCAAAATACGCGTATAAAGTAGTCATCATGAATAACAATAATAGAATTTAAGTAGATGGTTATTTCTACTTATCACTCGAACATTATGTTATTACATCAAACAACACGTGTCATTATCTTGATAATGGAAGAATTATAATCTGGTCTCATTTTTCAAACCTCAAAATTCTTTCAAAAGGAGCATAACTATTATTCAGTGGCTTTTGATTTGAAAAGATGATAATTTTTTTTATTTTTTGACAATAATTAAATGTTTAATCATTGAGAACCGTTAAAAAACCCTTGCGCCATTTATTTGAATGCTTCTTGTGTAGAACAATAAATTGTATTAGATACCAATCGACTATCATTGAGTCTAGGTTATCACTGAAAAGTTTGCGTTGAAAAAATTTAAGACGTGATCAGTAATACGTTTACATAATCACAAATACGGTGTAGGACTCGATCTAAAATACATTTATAAGTTTATAACTCAAAGGTCCTTTTTCAAAAGTTGCATTATCTGTGAATCGATGAGTGACTGAGAGCGAGTGATATAGTGTATGTGTGCGTGTTTCCAAAATGTAGGTATAACATTACAAAATCGATTAATTTTGGTTTGTTTTTAATTTCGCGTTCGCAGGTCGATGAGCGAGATGATGGTGGACTTCCGCCGACCGGAAATGCCGGACAACTATAGCGACGTGAGCTCGGCGTACAACTACAACTACCAGCAGAACCAGCACCAGTACCAGTACCGCCGGGGCGGTTCGTCTTATTACGCGGACGACGACGGCGGCAGTCTTGTCCGGTCGCTCAGCCAACCATCGCTGGCCCGGTCCGCTTCCGAGTTCACCGAAAACAACTGGGGACTCCGGATACGGTCGTACGAGGACGGAGACGACCTGAGCAGCCCGGACCACACTCCCAGGTCTTCGTTCCGGTCAACTGGTGGCCCAAGGCAGCAGCAACAGCAACAGCAGTCGTATTCCACCGAGACGGAGTTCGATGGAGCCCGCGCCACCGCCACTAGCACGCACGCCACTACTGGCCGGAGGAGGATGTTCGGCGGCCGCACGGTGTCCGCTGCAGAGTGGTTCCACGACTCGGACGAGAACGACGCCACTTACAGATGAACGAAATCCACCCCCACACCCGCCAGCTGCAGACGATATAATATATATGTATAATTTCATATAGGTAGCGACACTTTACCCTCTGCCGTACTCTCGCGTATATACATTATACATACTATATATAAATACTGAATAATGTGTACCTCGTACACATTCGACGGCCCCCTCCCCCCCTCGACATTACACTGTTCCCGGAAATTGTTTTTCATTTATTTTTCGATTTTCGTTTTGTACGATTATTAATTTTACGATTATTATTATTATTATTATTACCATACATATTATTATTATTGTTATTATTTCGACGGGGCACATTGTTTAGCGTGTGTCCCAGCTGGTCAGGTGCAATAATACGCGTAATATACGTCATATAATGAATTATTTCGAGCGAACCCTCCCTAATCTGTTTCCGCCGCTCTAAAGGCCCGTACGCAGCTCATTATATACATATATATATATATATATGCACAATCATATATTATTATATCGCCTACACTACGACTCGAGCGACATATTATTATTATGATTGTCATTATATTGATTAATTGTTTTATTAATTTTTACTAACTATATTATATTATATAAATTCATCATAATATATACTTATACGTTGTTGTATGCATTAAACGAAATGCATTAAACGTGTGAAACAGACTAAATATCGACGGCAGTTTATCGATATTATAATATAATTTTATAATTTTTTTTTTTAACAAAGTTAGGTTTACAATCAGGATACCACGCTATCCACAACGTGCCAAACTAACTAATATTATATAGTATATATATATACATTTAAGCCACTGGACTCGTACTCGTTAGGTATACCGTTATTCTACACATGCGCAGCAGTCTTAAACAGAGTTTTCATCGTGAACCAGGCTATCGCGATACCGGGAAAAATCGTTTTTTAAATAATTATTTTGTTAATTTTTCATATTTTCTTAGACATTGTCTGGTTCACGATACACCCCGTGTATAGAGGTTTTAATATTATAATTGTATAATATACGCGTGTGTTTATACGTTCTGACGTCGACACTTTTTTGTTTTTTTATCTTTAGGTGCTTTACACTGGTCGATTTCGCTGCGATACATCGTTTCGTGTTCCTAGCCATATTATATAATAGACGAATATCGTGTTAAACCGATTTTATTTTCAAACGAAACTGTGATAGTGTGGGCGCAATCGTTTAATCGAAATCGAAATTCGAAAGCCTCATGTCCGTGTACATTCTTCATAACATCTACATATCAATATATTATAATTTTAATATCTATTAACCATTATCTATATAATAACATTGTACTTTGTGCTGCTGTTTTATGATCTAAGACAATTCTATACTTTTCACTTGGTAACTATATATGTGTCGGTTGTTGACTTGTTGTTCAATGTAACGAGTACTATCAAATACTGAGTATCTTAAAAGTCATATTATTACTACAGTTAATAACTTATTAACGATTAGCTTGTAATGAAATCTAAAAAAAGTTCAATAAGAATTTTCATTGTTCACTTGTACTAATTTTTTGTTTGTATTTTTTTTTAAAGTGAAAACTGGAAAATCTTAATTGACTATAAACAGTGCATAGACTATTAATTATTATACATTATTAATAATATTGTAATATTTATAATAATATGCAAAATAATAAATCAAAATATTTATCATTGTGAGATGATCATCTTTATTAATTAAATTATATCCTCACCTATTCAAACGCATTATTTAATAATATACGTTACTCAAATGTATGAATAATATAATTTTATAAATTGACATCACCTATTCGGTTCATATAATATTACAATTAATGAATAGTTAAAAAAAAAACATTTTATTAATTAATAATAATGGAATATTATTGTGATATAATATGTTTGACACTAACAGAGTACATTATGTTAATATGTTATAGTAATTAAATTATGACTATAATAATAATACCATGCGGTTAAAACCATCATGATGTAACCCAATTTTGAATCCACTTCAACAATATTTTCTTTTGCCGAGTTGTTCATAATTATCAAATTATAATTATCTGGTTTACGTTTTAATTATGCAGTGGTAAAAATATACAACATCGGTTTTAGTGCACATGTTGCTTAAAATATTTGATAATAGTGTTGCAAGCCTGTTGAATATCATATTATTAACAATTATTATTTGTTATGATATATCATTATTTTTAAGGTCTTGAATTTTATAAAATTTATTTTGAAATCATGGATTCAAATGACGAGTAAGGCAGTTTGGGTAAATGAATCACAACGATTATTAAGCAATTATTAAGCAATTATGTAATATAAATGAAAAACTAAATAAAACAGCACTAAATCAATTAAATGCGCATTGGATAGTTGTTGAATTAGACTATCGGAACTTTTTATATTGCGAGTTGATTGAATGACGGTTTGAACCGTGAATTTTTAAAATTAATTGTAGGTATTCAATAAACGTTTACGGTGTGAAATTAAATCATAAACACGATGGATCGATCGTAATAATTATTATAATAAAATATTTAGCCTTTCCCAGAGCGACCTGTTTCAGTGAGCGTATAATTTAGTGTTGGTAAATATATTCCGTGTAAAATCAAATAGTTTATTCCGATGAAACAGACGTGTTACGTGCTTTTTGAACACCAAACGCCAAATGAAAGTCACTACACAATACATTATTTCTGGTCAAATTGATACTAACATACTTAAAAATATAATGCAAATGGTATCGATAGAAGTTGTAAAAATAAATGTTCCATAAACAAATCCGTTAAATCACTTTGCCACGTTTAAAATCGATGATAACTTTTTTCGTATTATTGACACACAATAGAAGTTTTCTTTCGACGGAATTATTATTTTTAGCCATTTATATTATAATATAGGAATAATGAAAAAACATCGGCTTGTAGTTATATGTATTGCCTATCAATAACGCCTTGTAATTTAAAGTACACACCATGTCAATTTATTGTTCATTCCCACTAATCAACAGCAAAAACATTAATTTTATAATTAATTTTATATCATAAGAAAAAATCGAGTCAAAACAACCTTACTAATGGTAATGATAGAATGTATCATTGTGTTTTCAAGTAGGTACCATAATTAATTATAAATCATTGTTTTTAATACAATTCGCAGATCGGCCGACTGTAAAAAGTCAAAATCTACACATTTTGTTCATTTTGTTCAAAATCAATTGCATTAGAAGTCAACAAATAAAATGTGCTTGGTTGACAATCAACCGATTAACATCATGTACAAAGTTAATGATAATTAATAATCTCTTATCTTGTTCTGGATCCAAAAACCCTGGTTGTAGTACTTGAATTTTTATCGTTTTGTGCTTTGCTCATAATAAGTTTACCATCTAAAAACTATTATATGACAATTATTTTATAAATTCATATTTATATACAAGGAGTCTGTAAAAAGGCTAAGTCTGATCCCTAAATGCGAGCCAGGATTAAAATACCTCTTGAGTCCCACATGAATAGATAGATATTGAATTTTAATCTGACAACACTGCGTGATGTGTTCTTTACATACTTGAACACCAGGGTCGTAGCTATGCACCCTTAATCCGGTCCTGCTTGAATGTATATAATCAACAAATATTATTATTAATCGGCCATAGTAAAATTATAATTGATAATGGTTTTCCGACCAAATGGAGAAAAATGTTTTTTATAATCGCCTCTGTGACAGTATAATGAATAATGAACGTTTACGAAAATCGTTTGGTTTCGAGTTCATGGCACTATTTTATACATACCGTCAAATTATTTTAAAATCTCAAATATATACCACATGTCCGAGGAAACAGGGTACACTTTATCATTTATTACTCTGTAAATATTTTTCAATTCTGTTTATAGTCATTAAACTAGACTATTTATAGAGCTAGAAATAATTTTAAAAAAATGTATAATATTAAATTGATTTTTTCAATACTTAAGAATTATTAAATTATTTTGTAACTACACATTAATTAGTGGTATTAATCCGTATGAAATTACATAATTTATCACAAAAACAAGTATTTTCAGAAAATACCTATTATTTGTCATTCGTTATTAAACTAATTATTGCAAGGGCGAGCAAGTAATTGGTAATCTTAAACAAGAACTTGTACATGGTGCAAGAACTTGAAAAACACATGTGTGTTCTTATATAAAAGTTTGATGCACATATGCGTATACAAATGTTCGACGTCTCTTAATTGGGTATAGTTTCATTGTTTTTCGCTAAATTTAGAAAAATACAACGCTATAATATTTACAATATTTTTTGTCATCATTGTTTTCTCGTGTTTGTCTTTAAAAGTTTAATGTTAAAAACTGTGGTTTTTGAAAAAAGATTATTTTAGGATAGTATTAATTATTATATTCTATCGTTTTTAATTAAAAATAACAATTTCAAGTTCTATTAATTTGAAAATTATTCTGAGCATCCAATGACATTGTTTTTAATTTAGTATTTATGAATCAAATGTAGTATTAAAAACTTGATTTTTGCTTATTTGGTTCATTGAATATTTATTGAAAGTATGTAAAAACAGTTCCGGTGTTTACCGGACGCTATGAAAAATAACGACCTTCCGTTATTTCCGTTATGCTAGAGTTGCTGATCTCGTCAACAAAATTAGTATTGCAAAAATGTTCAAACCCTTATGTGTTATTAAAAAAAATTGAAATACACATCCTAGCCGCCACGAAGCAACAATAATTATCGCTTATTTGTTGTATCCGTTGTGCAAACACTTTTAAAATAAATCCTTGAAAATATTATTTAGGTAATTACCTATTAATATAACTATCGTCTAAGGATTATAAAATGTTGCAAAAATCGCCTATGACAATAGCACTATTGTAACCTGCCTATATTGGAATTTTCCACGGCCTAAAAATCTAACAAAAAATATATTGAAGTTGTGTATATGTCAATTATATAACTTGATTTGACATATGATTTAATTATGTATATAGGTACATTTGATATTTATTTTCTTAAATCGTAAATAACGTGTTGATATTATTTCTATCATTTCAGCGGAGTCCGTTTACGCTTTGGATTATTTTTTAATTAAAATAATTTATCAAATGTAATAGGTATTTTTTGTTTGGTTGCATGTATAATATATACAAGATATAATTAGAGGATTAATCAAAAGATTTAAAGACTTTGAAGTGTTTTCATTTCAAACCATATCTTTGTCCAATAAAATATTGCTTAATATTATTATTACTTACCTACTGACACCGACAACCAATCATAGAAAATCAAAACACACCAACGAGTACTGACTTGGTGTAGGTAATATCTTGAATATTATTCAATCAACGTTTGATCTCTAATGTGTATTGTGTATACATGTAAATTAAACTCTATAATTTATGTATATTGGATGTTTGTATTAAAAAAAAAGCTTGACGTTTAAAAAATTAAAATAAATTATGTACAAGGAATTAATCAGTTATAACTATTTTAAGTTTAGATAAGCAGAGTTGAAGGCTACAAGTTATTCTGAAAAAGGTTTGTTCTACTTAGTCTACTGCTTCATTTATCCAAACTCAAATAGGTACATATAAATATAACCGGAGGTCATAATACTCGTTTAAAGTTCTATTTTTATACTTAACAATTATTATCAGACAAATAATCTGCTGTGGAATATAAGATTAAATATTATGTATGTTGTCGTTCAAAAAGGTAAAAAATGCATTTGCTTAAAAAAAATGTTTTTTTTTGCAATGAGATCAAATAAATTGTGTAAAAATATATTTTAATTCGTAACCAATATAAAAAAAGATTATTTTATGTTCATAATGATAATTAAGATAAAAATCGAAGAAGAATTAAACCACTAATCAGGAATAGTAAAACAAAATTTAATAGTTGTCACTACAATCATAGTAACTATCATCCTGTAGGTATTTGACTAAGCGATTAGTATTTATAGGAAATATTAGATATCTCTCACTATCAATTAGAAATAAATTGTTATTATAATCGTAATGATCGTACAAAATGTACACTGAACTACAGAAGTATATAATATTGACATACCTAACTATTACATTACATTATATCATCGTTTCATACCAAAGTAAGGAACACGAATATTATTATTTTCGTTTTATTATGTTATTATAGTACATAATAATACTACATTGACCCGACCACGTAATCCGCTGCCACGGATTTATGCTTCTACTGAATAATAATAATATGAAGTGGGATCGAGAAAGCAGTTCATATATGTATACAATATATGATTTTCGTTAATATCACTGCGTTATTGTAGATGCAGTCCTCCATTGGGAATACACTGGTGCGGGATTAGCCGAGGATTTCCGGTCGATTACCAATATATACACAGCACAGCGCAGTCTTACAAAACTTTAATCCGACGTTTGGGCATCC